CCCCAAAACCCCAAAACCCCAAAACCCCTTTCATAAAGATTTTCGTATTTTTTAGTAATAGAAAATTAAAATGGAAGAAAATTCCTCTCATGAAAGTGCATTGGAAAATGCAGACAAACTTATATAGTCTGTACTTGACCAAATGCTTACTACAAATGATGATTAGTTAGTCATATAAGGGCTAGAAATATTACATAAGCTACTAGCTAAGTAAGTCGGAGATTTTAAATGATATTTTAGTGTATTGAAAACCCCTCATGAGGAAAAATTCAGGATGATTAAGAAAACTAATGCTGTCCTCCAAAAGAAATTGATGAATCTAAAGGGCATCGAATATCTTATTCTTGCTCTTGGTTATGTTGATGTAACTTTAATACCTTAATAATTGATTTAGATTGATGATGAGCACTACGTTTTTATCGGTGATTACTTGAATATACTTCAAGCAGGATCTCACAGAATAGATGACACCTTAAGCAAGATTAAGGTTAAATACATGTCAGCTGAGGAAAGAAAAAAGCATGAAATAATTGAATAGCAAAAGATTGAGTACAGAGAGCAGTTGAAAAAGAAGCAAGATTACATCAAATTGATGTAGAAGCAGTCTGAGGAGGACAGAATGAGAAAATCTGAGTAAAAGTCAAAGACATCAGTGGCGAATTAGATGAATTTCGGTGCAAATATAGTCAAGTTCTAACCTCCATGCAAGCCAAGCGGTGGCGGGTGAGGCTGAGCGAAGATTAACACATGTTTAACCCAGTCTTATAAGGGGAATCCATTCAATGAAAGAATGGCGTTTGTGTTGGTCTTCGCGTTATGATTAATTGAGAGAGTCAAGGAGTAATTAACACGAATATTCGGTGAAGCTTGATAACTAAATCAGCAATGAAGGTTAACTAGCTGAAGTTACTTATTCCCTACTCTCGCTATCAATTTTTCTAATAATATTTTAACCAAAATTTCAACTTTTAAGAATCATGGGGTTTTGGGGTTTTGGGGTTTTGGGGTTTTGGGGTTTTGGGG